GTAGCCAGTGCAAATTGATAAACAGAGGTGTGACGTGCATTCTTTTCAGCTCATTAAAAATTAATCTTGCTGCCGCGTTCTGGATTAATTGTAAAGGTTTGATAGAACTGGCTGGAAGACCTGCCAAGAGAGCATTGCAATAGTCCAGCCTGGACAGAACAAGAGCTTAAGCATGTTCCGAAAGAAGGGCCTGATCTAAATATATATATATTTAGATCAGGCCCTTTCTTTCAGAACATGCTTAATAATATATCTTACATATTTAGATCAGGCAGAAAAGAAAAACAGAAAAAAGTATGAAAGTAGTCAGTGTTGAATAATACTGTAAGGTTAACCCTGCCTGCTTGAAAATGATTAACAGTTGAAAATATTTGTAAGAAATATAGAAAAGCAATCAAAAAGTATGTAATCAGTTGCATTAGTATAATTAATCATTGAATCACTTACATTTTAAACAGGGTAACTTGTAATCTGTAACCTAATACATTTCCAAAGTAACCTTCCCAATGTTTTATTATTGCTTCATATTTTTTTGATGTGTATTTTATTATTTATTTTCAGATGTGTGCTTTATAGAGGTCCTCTCTCTCAGATTATGTCTCATGTCTTATTATTGCTATTATTATCATTGCATTTCACATTTTTAGACTCTTCAGTCTATTGTGACAGTGCACCATTTTGGGAGAGCAGGTGAGTACTCAGAGGTGAACAGAAATCCCATGAATGAGCGCTTCAGCCTTATGACTCATCTGGCATGGCCCATAGACAGCAGGTGGGTGAGCTAATGGGATCTAATGCCAGGAGCCGGGGGTGTGTTTTCTTTAGCCAAACAACACCCCATTAAATGAAGAAGCAGTTTAGCAATTCATTAAAGTACTGAATATTTGATCCCCTTACAAATACAATCTAAGCACTCCAGAGAAGGAGTTTAATTTGTCTGGCATTAGTCATATGAAGATACGGAGGAAAGAGTAACGAGAAAACTTTAGAATAACATTTACCTATTTATGTAAATCTATGGATATAAGTTTAGGTGTAGTGACTGATAACATACTTTTAGTTAAATTCAGAATGCAAACATATTGAAAGGTATCCAGTGTAGTAAAGCTGCAAATTTTAAAACAACTAAATACAATCATACCATTTACTTTATTAACAGATAACTGCTGACTTTAAAGTATTGCTGATATTGATTATGTATATTGAATGATCATTCTGTTGCTTATGATTTTGCTGCTTGACATAATCTATGATTTTTTATTTTATTTTATCTTTCTTCATTTTTTACCATGACAGTATTAAAAACATTCTTTCTCAAAGAATATTTTCATAGAACAGCATTTTAATCGGTTTGATTGATATCTAAACAACAAAAATTAATATCCTTTTCATAGTATATATACACTGAAAAAAACAATGTTGCTTCAATATTTCACAAATAATTAAAAACAAGGACAAGTAACACATTGAACTAAACATGAAATTTTCAAGAAAAAAAACTGAAATCATATTTTCTAATAATATAAACTAAACAAATTGCCATAAATAAACAAATGAACGAATTAATGTAATTTTTACGTAGCTGTAACCAGTTCGTTTTGAGTTGTGTTCACTGGGTAAGATAACAAAATAAAATAAAATAATAAAAAATCTGTGCACATAATTGTGTTGATTGTACTGATTGTATACTGTATCGGCATGTCAATATTTGTTCATCCACATGAAAATGTTAACATTTACTGTATACCAAGAGAAGACTTGATATGTATTGATTCATTGAAAATTGGTGTATGCTTGTATACACCATACAAAATGTAAAATAAATGAATGGAACTGTATTAACAACTGCAAAAATATTGCACTTACCCATGAAGAGCAGAAGTGTTAAGCCTCAGTGCAGCATCTCTGTCAGGGGGCGCTTGCCAGTGTGTGTCTTCTGCTTTATCAAAGCAACAGGTTTGATCTAATGATGGAGCAGCAGACACACATGCGACACACACATGGGCTCTGTGGCAGAGCACCACCCCTCCACTGCCACAAACAATATGAGAGGACTAAAGCACCACTCTGCATGTGTTCAGACACTGTGCAAAATGCATGAGGCCACAAATAAAAAACTAAAACATGCAGTTTGAGAAAAATGAGAACAATCGTGTTCCAATTCCCCCGTAATGGTTATTCATAAAAGGTGTCCACAAGTCTAATAGCGTTTGTTGTACTCATTGGCATAAATCATTTCACACCTGTATGTGTGTTTGGCTGCATGTGACATTATTAATTATATTATAGCATAGGCTCTGTTTAAAGCAAATACTTATCACTTACATAAAAATAGTGATTTATAATATTACACATATGTTTCATATAACGTGTTTAATTTGTCGTAAGAGAGGGGTGATTCAAAATTAGCTGATTTAATATTCCATTCCATATATTTAGAACTAGTAAAAAAAAAAAAAAAACATGCTGAAGTTCAATATGTTCCATCCAATAATAAATTAATAAATTACTTTAAGATCGGATTATTATAATAAAGAATCTGATATTAAATGCAAATGTTTAAATGACATGAGTCAGATAGCAGAAACAGTAGTATTGTTTTTAATATACTATTTTAAAAATAAGAGTATTTTTTGTAGAATCAAGTGTTTTGACAAGATTTAAGAAATATAAAGAGAAAGTTACTGGGGTTTCGGGCAAAATGTAGCAAGTCTTTGCAAATGTAAATCGACTTCATTTCTTTTATCAGTTCAGCACAATCAGATGTAAATTAAACTTCAAATAGCCTGATTTCTAATCTATGCAAAAGGGTGATTTTAATTAACTGAACAAAGGCCAATTCTGTTGGCTAATGTGATATTTGCAGTGTGGAATATCAAACACACAAAGTCTGAGAATGGCTCCAAATCATTTCATGTTGCTACAGTAATTATTATCAGCGAGAAGCTGAAAAAGAATCAACAGAGAAAACGTCTTTGTCGAGACCACATCTTTATTTACAGTTTCAATCAGAAAGACCTGTCATGGATGATCCAAATCTGTCCAACAAATCAACAAAAGATGATTCATCACATTTGTCTTTGTTAACAGCTACAGAAACAGAATCAAGTGTTATGATAAATAATTTCATCACCAAGGCTGCATTTATATGACAATAAAAGGAACAGTAAATCATTAATATTGTGAAATATTATTATGATTTAAGATAATTGTTTTCTGTTTTAACATATTTTAAAAAATGTAATTTATTCCTGTGATGCAAAGCTGATTTTTCAGCAGCCATTACTCGAGTTTTCAGTGTCACATGATCCTTCAGAAATCATTCTGATATGCTGAACTGCTGCTCAAGAAACATTTCTTGTGTTCTTGTGTTGAAAACAGTTGAAGCATCCAGTTTAGCAGTTGAAAATTGATTCATATTTTTGTGTAATTAGTTTTTCGTTGATAAATAGAAAGTTAAAAAAAGAAATCTTTTGTAACATTATAAATGTCTTTACTGTCACTTTTGATCAATTTAATGTGTCCTTGTAGAGTAAAAGTAATAATTTCTTTAAGAAAAACTACCTTACTCCAAACTTTTGAATGGTAGCGGATCCCAGTTTTACACAAAAATATAAGGCATCGCAACTTTTTTCAACATTGATAATAAGAACAAAGCACTAAATACAAAGTGTTGTCTGATCAGGCCTCTCACAAATGAACCTCTTTTATTTGCACTCGTCATACATGATTTTATAACCAGGCTTCACTAGAATATTAATAATACAGGCTATTGATTGTTTCTCAAAGTTATGTGACCCGAATAAACAACCCAATGTAAAATGTTGATATCAAAAAAGTTAATGCATGGGGGGAGGGGGGAATAAGTCTAAGTCAGCTGACTAATCAATAAAATTACTATTTAATTGAGATGATTATGAGATGTGAAAGCATAGTTTATTTATTTGGTAACATTTTACTAAGGTCTCTTATGTAAACATTAGGTAATTCATTAGCTAACATGAATACTATAAAAAAAATACATTCTTTACATGAATTAATGTTAGCAAGTACTACTTTTGATTTGAAAAATGTATTAGTAAATAATTAACTAGTTTAATATATTCTGTGGAATGTGGTTAACTAATGTTAACAAAAGAAACCTCATCGTTAATATTTAGTGTTAATATTTACAAATTGGAATTAGAAAAATTTAGAATTCAACAGAAAGGTTAGAAGGTTAGATTAGAATATTATGACCATATTTACATGAGAAGGATCCCAATCCAAATGAGACCTGGCACAACAAGAAGAATCTGTTCTAGGAAATATAAATTAGCATTGGCATGAAGATCTGGCAGGCAGAAAGCTTGTTCTAACATGAGATGAGTGTCTGTGCTGATACCTGAAAAACACCACACAGCATCTCAGTTTGTAACAGAGTTAGGACCAGTCTGCTTTGATACGACATTTACACACAATACTTTTATACATGGACTCGAGTACAGTAGCTGTTAGCTTTGCTTACATTACATTGTAAGCTCATGTTCAATCATATACTGCATTGATTCCCTATATATCAGAAGGTGATAAAGCTTTTCAGATTTCAATAGTGCTGTAAAAAAGCCATATATTACCATTCTTAATCCACTCATTCCAGGCATGCAAGTTGTCACTATCATGATTCACAGCAGACTCTGTGGAAATATAAACACTTCTAATAAATGGATAGAAAAATTCTTTAAACAAAATATAAATATAAAATTGCTTACAAACACCGGCTCATATATGTTATCAAAGGTCTATAGACAGATTATTCTCACCATGTGAGTGATCCAGAAGTTTTCCCAGCTCTCGCAGTGTCTGCGTGAGGTTTTTCAGTCTGTGATGTAGGTACGCGTTCTCCTCTCTCAGAGTGTGAATTGTATCTTGAAGCTCATATGAAAAGTTAATTTGTGGCATTAAACATATGGTCAACAAAATGAGAATCAGATGCATTGAAAACATCATTCTCTATATGCACACTTCTTTCAGTGAACTAATTATTGTGTGGCCATGAACAAAAAGCACTGATGCCTGCATTTAGAAATCAATCCAATTCTCATGCACCATTTATTCTGGTCTCAATACAAGATGTAAGTACAAACTGTTCTATATAGACATAAGCTCTTTTAGGTTAAACTAGTGTGAAAGAAAACTGGTGTGAACGACTCCAAACATAATATTACTTCTTTCATGTCAAGCATGAATCTCAACAGATTGGTTTATGTACTTTAGTGGCTTTTTTATTGATCATTCTTAGGGATGCTAGTTTTTACACTAGTGAACATTTCTCAGAGTTTATTTTTGAAAGTATGTTTCTGTATGAATACCTTCACAGCCACAAAAAGAATTTCATTATTGCTCATCAGGGAAAAAATCAGTTTATTTATTACATGTAGGTTATTGGGGCCATGATGTCAAACTATATGAGGAAAGTTGTCACAGTGGGACCCTGCCATCTGTTTTAGACTATTTAATGCCTTTTTAATCGTAGAAAATTACAACAAATAGAGCATATGTGACAACCTGTCATGCTATTTGTTTGTTTGTTTGTTTATTTATTTTTCATTTTGTTTATTTTAAAACTTCTTCTAGAGAGAAACGTTTGTGCAACTGGACTGTGAAAACTAGTCTAATGTAGGCATCATAATATTAATAAGTTGATACTGTGTAAATACCGGTTTGTTTTATATTTTCCCCCACAGTAACAATGTAAATACAATTTGTTTCTAAATCTATCCTCGCTATTTACATACGCCGTCTATTCATACAGAGTTTTTCCTTTTCCTTTTGTTTCTAGGATCATAGCAACATGACTACAGTAGGACGTGTTTAATAACCATTTCCGGGCAACGTTCATGGTCAAATAGAAGAATCCAAGATGGCTGCTCACATGTCAAGATTATGGGGCTGGAGCCGAGCGCAGAGGTTTGAGCTAATGTCCTAATTATTCACGTACTGTATAGACGTGAGTCACATTTGTAGAGCCGTAGCCTCATGTTTGTTTTGACTTTATAAAATAATATATTTTAGATTGTCTCTCTACTTCATAAAATCGTTTGTTATAGCAATAGTGTACATGTGACAAACTTCAAAATCTCGTGTGCTTCCCCGGTAACTTAATTAAACTGTATTGACAGCAACTATTGCAAATGCCAGTGTGGATGTTGTTATTAGTATCATATTGCTCATGATTTAACTGTGTTGCCATGCGTGTTTAATGCTGAGAGATAACTTGTAGAAGCAGTGCTGTCAGTGTATGACTGTTGCAGGTATGGCATCGCAGTATGTAGGCAGTACAGCAGCGGCAGCGCGTATCCCAATGTGTCCCTGTCCACACCGTTACCCGGGATTCCCAAACCTGTCTTTGCCTCCGTGGACGGCCACGAGAAACACGAGACTAAAATCACCACCTTAGAAAACGGACTCAAAGTTGCATCTCAGAATAAATTTGGTCAATTCTGTACAGTTGGAAGTAAGTACAATGTGAAGTGTCGCTTGATTCAAATGAGCTGAGCCAGATACTGAGGGTTGTGTCTCACCTGCTTGTTTTTAGTTTTAGTAAACTCAGGCTCGCGTCATGAAGCAAAATATCCCAGTGGAATTGCACACTTTTTGGAAAAGCTTTCCTTTTCTGTAAGTTAGTATTTGTTTGAGTTGTATGGCATGAATTGTTTATATACTAAATTGCTTTGACACTGTTCTTCTGATTTAAATGCACAAAACCAAACTCAGTCTGATTCATACTTCAATTTAAGTCTACAGCCCAGTTTGGAAGTAAAGATGAAATTCTCCTAACACTTGAGAAACATGGAGGCATATGTGACTGCCAAACATCCAGGTCTGACACTTTTTTTTTTTTCTTCAAATAGTTGTTTTCTCTTCTGTTTACCTCTTATTTAGCATGTTTTATTTATTTCTGTCATTTACAGGGACACAACGATGTATGCGGTTTCAGCGGAAGTTAAGGGTCTGGATACTGTAGTGAACCTCCTGTCAGATGCGGTTCTACAGCCTCGTTTATTAGGTGAGCATCTAAAACACAACTGATTATGTAAAGGTGTCATAAGACATTGCTAAAAAGAACATGTTGTGTATTTGGTGTAATGCAATGTGTTTATGCGGTTTAAGGTTCAAAAAACACATTATTTTCCACATACTGTACATTATTGTTTCTCCTCTATGCCCCGCCTTTCTGAAATGCGTAGATTTTTACAAAGCTCATCGGTCTGAAAAGCGAGGTGTGCTGTGATTGGCCAGCTATCCAGTGCGTTGTGATTGGCCGAATACCTCAAGCGTGTTGATTTCCTCAAAACGGAAATGTTACGCCCCTTACCATACTGTCAGGCCGTGTCCCGGCCGCATCATATGACCCCTTTAATGTTACTGAATCTTTGAAATGGTTAAAGTTATACCCTAATATTCAAAAGTTTGGGGCAAGTGAGTAATAAATGAATACTTTTTTTTCAGCTACGACACGTTAAAATGATGAAAAGTGATAGTAAAGACATTTACAATGTTACACAAGATTTCTATTTCAAACAAATGCTGTTCTTTGAACTTTCTATGCATCGAAGAATGCTGATAAAATGTTTTCTCAAAGAATATTAAGCAGCACAATTATTTTCAACATAAAATTTTTTTCTTGAGCCCCAAATCAGCATATTAGAATGATTTCTGAAGGATAATGGGACACTGAAGACTGGAGTAATGATGCTTTCCTCATCTCAGGAATAAATTGTATTTTAAATACATAATAAAATAGAAAACAGTTTGAAATAATATTTCTGTTTGTACTGTATTTTTAATCAAACACAGCCTTGGTGAGCATATGAGACTTCAAAAAACTTTTTGAAAAGTGTTTTATTCCAGATTTTTGACCTGTATTGTATGTAACTGATGTTATTTCTTCAGATGAGGAGATTGAGATGACCAGAATGGCTGTTCGGTTTGAGTTGGAGGATCTGAAAATGAGACCTGACCCGGAGCCTTTACTAACAGAAATTATTCATGCTGTGAGTACGGCTTAATGCTTTGCTGTAGGTCATTGAAATGAGTCACTAAGTCTTATTTGATTTCCTCTTCAATATTTAGGCTGCGTACAGGGGCAACACCGTGGGCCTGCCTCGCTTCTGCCCTCCCGAAAATGTTGAGAAAATTGACAGGAAGCTGCTTCATAAGTACCTACAGAGCTATTACTGTCCGGAGCGCATGGTGCTGGCCGGGGTTGGGATTGAACATGAGCAGCTTGTGCAGTGTGCTAGAAAGTATCTCCTAAATGTTAAACCAGTATGGGGTGCGAGCACACCTGCCAACGTCGACCAGTCTGTAGCACAATACACGGGTGGCATTGTTAAGGTGAGCGAATTCATACGTACGGCAGACATCATTTGCTATTTTTAAGATTCTCGAATTACTTGAGCTAAGCTGATTGTCTCATGTCAGATGGAGAAGGACATGTCAGATGTGAGTTTGGGTCCAACACCCATTCCTGAACTAACACACATCATGATTGGACTGGAGAGCTGTTCCTTTTTGGTTTGTTGCACATATTAAATTAAATCAATTCAATTTCATGCTTGCCAGAAATGGTTGTGTGCTGATGTGAGTTTTTTTTTTTTCACTTATAGGAGGATGACTTCATCCCCTTTGCGGTCCTCAATATGATGATGGGAGGCGGAGGGTCCTTCTCTGCCGGAGGGCCCGGAAAAGGCATGTTTAGCCGTCTCTACCTTAATGTGCTCAACAGGTGTGGCGTTGTCTACTCGTACTCTATAAACTCTACTGTTATTTATGTGGTGAATCGTTTTAAGCAATTTGTTGTTGTTTGTACAGGCATCACTGGATGTACAATGCTACTTCGTACCACCACAGCTATGAAGATAGTGGTCTGCTCTGTATCCATGCAAGTGCAGACCCTAGACAGGTACTGTAGTTATGTTGTAAATATTACTACCGTAGTACACTGCATTGTTTTAAACTATTTATTTGTTTAGGTGCGAGAAATGGTGGAGATCATTACGAGGGAGTTTATTCAGATGACTGGGACAGCAGGAGAAGTAAGACCTTCCTTTTGATATTCCTTTGTTATGGATTTCAATGCCACAATTTAAGGCCTTAAAGGGTTAGTTCACCCAAAAATGAGAATTATGTCATTAATCACTCACCCTCATGTCGTTCTAAACCCGTAAGACCTCCGTTCATCTTCGGAACACAAATTAAGATATTTTTGATGAATTCTGAGGGCTCTCTGAGCCTCCCATATAGACAGCAATGTAATTAACATGATCAAGTTCCAGAAACGGAGCAAGGAGATCGGTAAAATAATCCATGTGACATCAGTAGTTCAACCGTAATTTTACAAAGCTACGAGAATACTTTTTGTACGCAAAGAAAACAGTTCTTTCAATTCTTGCTATTCTGTGTCAGCTGCGTCACGCGAAAACAACGTATCCGCATGACGCAGCTGACACAGAATAGCATACGCTGTTTACATTCAGTGGATACTCTCCAAAATGGCACCAGGGTGACGCGGAGGAGACAAATTGTTGAACAAAAAAAGTCATTATTTTTGTTTTCTTTGCGTACAAAAAGTATTCTCGTAGCTTTGTAAAATTACGGTTGAACCCCTGATGTCACATGGATAATTTTACAGATCTCCTTGCTACGTTTCTGGACCTTGATCGTGGTAATTACATTGCTGTCTATGGGAGGGTCAGAGAGCTCTCAGAATTCATCCAAAATATCTTAATTTGTGTTCCGAAGATGAACGGAGGTCTTACGGGTTTAGAACGACATGAGGGTGAGTAATTAATGACATAATTTTCATTTTTGGGTGAACTATCCCTTTAAGAAGGTCTTAAATCACAGCAGAGTCTTAAAATCCACAAAGCCATGGCATTAAATGTCCCATGCACTGCAAAAAAATGAATATCTTAAGGGTTTTTGTCTTGTTTCCAATATAAAGATCCTTAAATCAAGATACATTTACTTGAGATGCAAAAGTCTTGTTTTCAGAGAAATTGAGCAAAATTAAGTGAGTTCTCAATGGGTTTTTCCTTTGAATTAGGTTGATTTTTCTGAGTCCATTGGCAGATATTTATTCCTGTTTTAGTCATAATCTCCCAGTCCCTTCATTTTGATCATTTTCTCATAAAACGAAACTCATGTAATTTTGCTGCTCAAGTAAATGGATTTTGATTTATGAATCTTTAGATATTTGCACTAGAAAACATGACTGAAATATCGAGGAAGAACCTCACTTTGCAAAATGTGATCGGAAGGTACAGTAAAAGTTACTTCCATATTCTATTGGTATGGAGCAGAGCTATTCAAGCCTCAATCTATTTTTTTTTGTAAAATGAATTAAAAAGTAATGAAGTTATTATTGGAATTTGTAGTTGAAGCATACAAGACATTTACATTTAGACAAATTGTTATATTCAGTTTATTCCTTAAGTTTTCTTTACTTGGTCTTAAAAAGTCTTAAATTTATCTTCATAAAACCTGCAGAAACCCTGTAAAATCCACCGTAGAATCTCTAGGACTTTCCAAAAGATGAAAACAATATTCAGAGCTTGACTACAGTGGTCTGAACATTGTTTTCTGAAATGTAATTCCTCGGTAATATAACAAAAGTACAGTCTTCTGTATAATTAATGTATATTACATTTTTAAATGTGAAAAAAAAAAAGATGATCACATGTCATCACATCATAGGTGACTTGACTCATTGTGAATTTGTGTTCATAACCTGAAATCTCTCACTTGTGCAGATGGAGCTAGAGAGAGCCAAGACGCAACTGAAATCCATGCTCATGATGAACTTGGAGTCACGACCGGTCATCTTTGAAGACGTAGGTCGACAAGTACTTGCGACAGGCAAGAGGAACCTGCCACATGAGCTGTATGAGCTCATCAGTAAGTACTGATGTTTACTGCAAAGTATAAAGCCTATATGAAAGCTTCATTTAGCATGTAAATGCATGTTTGTAACATTCACAAAATACTTAATACACAACCGTTCAAAAGTTTGAGAAAATCAGCATATTAGAATGACTTCTGAAGAATCACGTGACACCCAAGCCTGGAGTGTAATGGCTGCTGGAAATTCAGCTTTGGCTTTATAAGAATTAATCACATTTTAAAATGTATTAAAACGTTAATTTTAAATTGTAATAATATTTCACTGTATTTTTGATCAAATAAAGCCTCTGTGAGCATAAGAGACTTTATATATAGACTTTATAAATATTTTTGACTTTCTTCTTTCAAAAACTTACCGACCCCAAAACTTTTGAACAGTAGCGTACATACTTAATAATTGCATTACTTGGCTTAAATATGTTATATCAGTATCATACCATTCACTAGTTCTTTCTGGGAGACATATTTGCTAAAAAATATGAATTAACAGACCCCCCAAAACCCCACCCCACCCCACCACTTTGTTTTAGGTAATGTTACAGC